TAATGGGTTCTTTTAGATGAAAACAAGGAACAAAGGACAATAAAAAAAAAATTGTTTTAAAAAAAAAAAAAAAAACAGGATGATGGATAATAAGTCAATAATTGTGGTTCTGGTAAATAAACACCTGTCTCTCGAGAACAGAACGAATGTGAAAGGAACAAATGGGCCAGCAGTATCAGCTATGAAGGAACAATGTGCTTAATTAAATGGAAAAGTTTCAGCAAATCATATTGTAAAAATCTGCATCCTGCCATATCACCACGTATATAATGCAGAAGGATCACAGTCCATAATAGTTCAAAACCTCTACCTAAATTATTAATCATATGGTTCGCCTGATTCAGCTGATCAATTATATTGAACTGAACGTTAAAGTCTAGTTATATGGAGGCCGTCAGGTGACACTGGCCAATGTTCTGCCCTACTTTGTAATAATATTATATTTAAGCATCCTGTTGCACTCTACACGATAAATGACACAAATTCCGTCCCAAGTGCAAACAATATATATTATATGTCTTTGATCTTGTTCTTTCTACACTACATGTTTCGGCCTCTATCGGCCATCATCAGGTGTATACTCTTAACGTTGCTGCCACATTGAACCCAGTCTAAAATTTAACAGTTAAAAACACAATGTCATATTCTTCGTATTATCAACATCTACATCGTTGATATATGTCTGGTATGTAGATTATGTTGCACACGTCAAATTTGATATTCTTGTAGTAGCACTTTAAAAATCTTTAGTTATGATGTTTTTAAGATCTTTTAAAATTTTCTCTAAATTTTAAATTTAAAATTTAAAATTCTTAGGGTTACACGCCCTATGTCTAAGTGCTGGAGCGGCTAGTTCTTGTTTTCACACTGTACAGGTGTTATTTAATGTAGTCTTCTTGTGTGGGTGCCGCTGCTTGTCTGTACTACGTGTCTTTGTACTACTTTGTAATAATACATTTTTTTCATTACTTTGCTTATCTGCAAGAAGTTAGTAACATTCTGATGATCTTAATAAACAAACATGTTATGTCCCTTCTCAATTCTACATACAAAAAAGATGTCCATACTATATCAATGTATAAATAAAAGAAGCCAAATAAGTCAGTACTGTTTCATTGGTATACTTGTTAAGGTGACTGGAAATATAATCTAAAATAAAATCTTCGAAAATTTACAAAAATGTTTAAAAGTTTTGATAATTATATACATTGCTGTTAAAGACTGATTTAACAACAACTGAGAATTTTAAGATATTTATAAGCATAGAAAGTTTGACTATTATGAATATTTTCAGAAATATGAATACTTCTGTTTTACAAAAGTTTTTCAAAACCAGGCACATCTGAAAAGTAACAAAGTTTAGGAAGATATGGAAAATTTCACATTTGCAAATTTATTCTGAAAATTGAAGGGCAATATGAAGATGGAAGTTTTGTGAAACTACGAACATTTTTAAGAACACAAAGACTTGGAGTGTTTTTAAAAAAATCCCATTGCGATAGCTTACAAGAAGGACAATTTTGGAAAGTTAATCAATTAGGTAAATAAATATGTTCAAGAAATTACATTTTTTTTTAATTCTGTAGCTGCTTGAAATATAAAAACCTTCAAATATTCCACAAATGTGATGTTTGGAACATGCCAGAAATGTTGGAAGACAACAATTTCAAAATAATAATAATTTTTTTTATTTTAAAACCCTGAAAATGTTTAAACATGGAAACAATTTTAAATTAATTATCATTTAATTACTTCCTTACATTAATATCGTTTCAACAATTATCGAGAACTTCACTGTGCAGGCAGATAGAGGCCCCTGTGAAGGGACCCTACTTTCGGCGCATTAATCCATATTCACCGGGCAGAAACCTATGATGGATGAACTCTTAAAGGACAAACATAAATAGAATCCGTCCACACGTTTGAGCACTAGCCAGGTGCACGTGCAGACGGGCAAACGGCACTCCATAATCGTTTCGTCGTATTCAAGGGTGATGAAAACATTTAAATCCGTCGCTTTTTCTTCGTGATTATAGCACCCATATTCTGAATATGGGAAAATAAAACGTTAGGAAATATAGAGCACAGAAGATGGGAAAATAAAACGTTAGGAAATATAGAGCATAACAACATTTCCGCATTCCTTAGCTTTCTTTAATTACTTCAAAACCCGTAAAATTTATAATATACCGTATTTACGCATGTATAGGCCGCAGCACAATTTTCAGACAGAAATTATAGAAAAAATAATTTTCTTGGAATATTATTTCAGGAGTAGAACACCCTGTACTACTAATTGTGAATATAATTTTTTTTAAATGAAGAGTGATTTCCAATATTTCGAATATAAGCCGCACCCCAGTTTTCCTCTTGAATTTTTGGCAAAAAATGTGCGGCCTATACATGCGTAAATACGGTATATGGTATAAGACGTGTTTCACTTTACTCTACAACTTTTGTTTGAAATATTTTTCGCTCTAATAAATATTTAGGGTGATGATACTGGAGATGGGTGCACAAACGCAAGAAGGTGTTCATATAACGTATCCAATATTCTTATTCGAGCCGAAAAAAAAGGAATGTTGAGACATATTTTAGCAAAACTTTACCAATATCAAGCCTTCGTGAAAATCTCTTCGGTGGATCTGTTGTTGTTGTAAGCGGACAGACACGGGTGACGCAACAGGCACAGTTTTGCTATTTTCTTTAGAATGAATGAAAGATAATAATCACAACAATGAAAATATATTGTATAATTACCTTTGCTAGCCGTTCAAGAATGACTCTTATGTTAATCCATCAGCTAGTCACCGACCTCAACAGACATCTTGTTATGTAAATGGTCAAATCTGTCAAACCAATATTGTTATGAAAAAGGATGAAATTTGTTAAAATAGTGAATAATTTAAGTGCCACTGCATCTCATCTGTCAGTGACGGAGAACGTTTCATTGATAAACACGTATAATTAGTTGTTATCCCTATTAACCGAAATATAATACTGATTTGAACATCATAACCGGTATTTTTCTGTTCCACAAAAACCTCCAGGAAAGTACTTTATTTTTCCTTGGCACTACATCCCCAGTGGGCCTAGGCCTACCTCCTTGAACTTCTCTGTTCACTTAGGTTTTTCTAGATCTTACATATACGGTAGGACTCCTTGGGCGGGTGATCAGCTCGTCGCAAGGCCTCTACCAAAGTACGTTATTTTCGTCTTATAACCTTACGAACTATTACCACCATTCCTATTCATTATAACAGTTTTACAACAGAAAAACATACACGTAATCCCTATATACAATTATTACATGAATTCAAAGAACATAACGAACTCGGTTCTGCTGGCACACACTTCGGGCTGCTACTCCACAACACTGCGAGGACACCGTGATACCATGATTCCCGCTAGGTCAGCTGCAGCCACAGTGAAAGCACAGCAACTTCGGGTATTTCCGTACTTGGGTTACAGACGACACTGAAAATGTTCAAACGACTCGTATAGTCTCGAAACCTTCTAAACAAATACTGACAATACTTCGAGCTCTATGTTTTCCCCGAGTTCTTCTTTCGTATGTATTTTGATTAGATGGAATTAATGTTTTAAATATCTCCACAAGACGAAGGTCGGGAGAGAGCTTTAGGACCCTCCCACCGTACACACTGTTCAAGGTTCGGTGGTATGCGCAACTGTAGAGCCCGGCATCAGATGTCCGCAGAGTTTCTCTTCGTCTTTGCATGAAAAACGGTTGTCAGCCTAACACGTCAATCAGCGTTTACTGTTTCTTCCTAATATTATTATCGTCGTACCCCAGGCTCACTAACCACCAGCGTTTACATCGTGGCGTGGAACATGGTGTATAACATGTGGAGTTCATTCGCTCCAGTGCGCAGGGTGGAATTTACTGCAGTAGGGGTACCGAGAGGGGTGTTCGGGAACACGGTGCTCAAGAGAATATTCGACCGAAGAGAGATGAAGTGACAGGAGGTTGGAGAAAACTGCATAATGAGGAGCTTCATAACTTGTATTCTTCTCCAAATATAATTAGAATGATCAAATCAAGGATGAGATGGGGAGGGTATGTAGTACGATTGGGGGAGAGGAGGGATGCATATAGGATATTTGTGGTAAAGCCGGAAGGAAAGAGACCATTGAGAAGACCAAGGCGTAGGTGAGTGGACAATATTAGAATGGATCTTAGAGAGATAGGATGGGATGTTATGGATTGGATTGATCTGGCTCAGGATAGGGACCAGTGGAGGGCTCTTGTGAACACGGTAATGGACCTTCAGGTTCCATAAAATGAGTGAATGAGGGGTACCGAGGTAATCAAAATGTGGTGGACCCTATAAGTAACAAGAGTCGGTTATGCTAATTCTTGTTTCCCTTATTTCCCATTCATTCTACAGTAATCTGTCAGACGACAGGTCCACACTCTCTTCCAAAACAGTTCCTCCACTTAATGCGATCTAGAGCTTTCTCCTTCAAATAAAAATATCCTCTTCTGTCCCCAAGGACATCCAGCATCTTCTTACGTCTTCTTCCTCGTCTTCTGGATCTCGCATACATGGTATCTCTGTTTTTGGAAAGAGACTATCCAGGAAAAGTGATAACGTAGTAGTTTTTCTATTTGCTTTCCACATCGCAGTACAACAGCCGTTCAAACCACTCTGGTCACGCCTGTTGCTATACGAACTTGAACCATCTCGAGCATCATTTGCTCTGTGCTTCAAGTCGCTGCTGATGACACTGCTTCCGGCATCAGTTTTTGGTTTTTGGTGTCTCTCTTCGTCTGAAGCCTACCCTTTGACCTGTCCAGCAACGGAGGCCCTGCCAGTAGCTACGCTACCGCTGGTATAGCTCTCAGGGTCCTTGGCATACTCAAACCCCCTCACCACGATAAGGTGGAGACACCAACGAGAGGGTATTTCCTATATGTACTAACTAAAAATAAAAAACAACATGTTGTGATTTTAGAGAAGCAAATATCTCGATAACATTTGTGAGTTCTATTTGTTTCGCGGCGACTCCGGGACGATTGTCCGGGTAGTTCCCCTTAAATCCGGCCCTGTCCGTGTGTTATTTTGTGTGTTCATGTCTCCATTCAAATACAACCAACTGTGGTCTAGAACACCGGTGAGACCGTGGCTCGGTAAATTCTTGTTTTCTTTATAATACGAGGGCCCGGCGGTTGAGAAACACTGGTCTAGAAAAATGAAAACGTCAACCTGGGATCAAGTTCGCAGCCGTGGACTGAAGAAACCTGTTACAAAAGTGAAGTACGGCTACTGGACCACGTGGCTGCAAAGAACGCACAAGTGACAGCCAGCCGTACTTTCACCAGCTCTGTGGCAGTTTCCGCAGTCCATGTCTTAAGATACCTGTACTTCGATTCTGAAGCCGAGCTCCAATTCTGTCCAGCTTCTATTCGATGACGTTTGGTTTCCCGTCTACTAGCAAGTCAGTTGCCCTCACTCTGCTTGCAGCATTCTAAATAGTGTGGAGAAATCGAATTCCAGGAACCGTTCTTCTAAATTCTCTCTCCTCCTAGCATAGTTACGCTTCACACAAGTTATGCATAAACGCAGCCGATACTCTAGTGAGCCGGGATAGCGTAGTCCGACCAAGAGGTCGGAATTCGAGTCTCGGTACGGTCAAGAATTTTCTCTTTTCCACGTCGTCCAGACCGGCTCTAGGGTCCACCCAACCTCCTATCCAATGGGTACCGGATGCTGTTTCCTCGGGAGTAAAGCGGCCAGGCCGTGAAGCTGACCACTCACCTCCAACTAGTGCCGAGGCCAAGAAAATGTGGATCTATACACCCACTCCCCCATACACCTTCATTGTATAGTACTTATTTGGTTAAGCACGGGGACAACTTTACCTTTTTTATACATATTTCCTCTAATCACTACTGCTGATTCAATATGGCGTGAAGCGAAGCAGTGAGTGCGCATAACAAAAAAAAACGTGTTTCGGCTCAGGCAGAAAATAATCTCACCATGTAATGCATGTACCAATAATTTTATGAGTTGAAATATATGGATATATTTATTTGTACATTCCACTTGATGATCTTTTGTCTGCATTATTTACTGAAAGTAGATGAATCGCGAGATAAAGAAATATACCGTATTTACGCATTTATAGGCCGCGTGCGTGTATAGGCCCCATAGCACAATTTTCAGACAGAAATTATAGAAAAAATAATTTTCTTGGAATATTATTTCAGGAGTAGAACACCCTGTATTACTAATTATGAATATAATTTTTTTAATGAAGTGTGATTTCGAATATAAGCCGCACCCCAGTTTTCCTCTTGAATTTTTGGCAAAAAATGTGCGGCCTATACATGCGTAAATACGGTAGTTCCTAGTTCCAGCATAGGGAAAGGACATATTATTTCTACACCAAAACAACACAACACTAATAATGTATAGACACCATAAAGCTTAAACGTTAAACTTGCAGTTAATTTGTCATTTAACTCTGTCGTGCCAATCATCCCTGTATGTTTACTAACCAACACACAATTCCATTATCGTAACCTGTAGTCATTTACTCGACCGGTCCCCACAATTTGAAACGGAACTCATCCCTGCTTGCTACACTGTATATCCATTGGTTGGTTCTGACCCCACTGCGGCATTCAATAATTGAAAAACAGTACTGTCTGTAGGAACAGAGATGTCAGCGGGGACTGTCGCCCCCCCCCCCTTTCACACACAGCAAGCGTATAGTGAGTGACCTGCACACCTTTCCCCGCTCCACAACCCACCTGGCATATCTATTCTGACAGACAATACGTTTACACAATGATGCGTGTAAGTACCGCACTAGGTCATTGGTCCGTTGTACCCCTCACGCCGGTAGGGGAAAGTCAAATATGTGAGCAGTGGGTCCTAACGAACCATCTACTATTAATGTAATGGGGATTCTCGGTATTCCTTTCGTGTTTTAACAAAGACCGGGTCGATTGTCGTAGATACAAAACCGAACTTGGTCACGAAAGGAAATTAGTAGCTACCATGACAGTTCCTTCTCGGAACTAGGGTGCCACGTTCCGGAAGCTATGAGGAAGCAACTCGTTTCTTTACACACACAAAAGGGTCAAATTTTTCATCTCCATTTAAGGTGCAGATAGTAATGCATGACATACAATTCACGGAAAATTAGTAGCGAAACAGGTCGTGGTCAATATAAATTTGGATGCGAATCGATTATTATGCGCCCGTGCAACTTTACCTGTCCTTCTTCTTCACGAGGGCTCTGCTCCATAAAGTTACTAATTAATGTGATTTTGATATACAAGAATAACGTATGCCAATATTAGCACACTATACTGCAGTTTAGTGACCTCTATAACGGTTTACAACAGGGTTGGGAAACATGTGGCTCTAGGTCTTTCAGTTGACTACGAATAAATTTTAGGTGGATTGTTAATGCATGGGAGAATAAGGCACGGAGTTATATCCCAGGGGATAGTGCTCTTTATACTCCCCAAAGTATCTCCATCTTGTCGTGGTGGCGCGGCTTGCGTGACTCTGTGACCTGGAGAGCCGGTGGTAGTTTAACTATCGGTAGGGTCACCCATGCCGGAAAGGTAAAAGGGTAGAGTCCAGACTAAGAGAGATACCCTGGTCCTCCAGGTTGGGGGTTGGGCATGTGGCTAATAACTTCATCCTGTAAAAAGAATTTTGTTCAGGAACCTAACAACCAGCCTCGGGTCATCATGCGTGGGTCCATTCCTAGGGCAGCCTGCACTGGTTGTGGAGACTGGCTGTAGAGGAGGCCAAGGCTCACCCAGGGTTGTAGCACCGAGTGGTAGGGTGGTAGATGGGGCCGCGCCATAGCTCAAGCGGTTAGTCGCTGGCTTCCCACCGCAGCGACCCGGGTTCGATCCCGGATCTGGTCAAGTGGGATTTGTGGTGGACAAAGTGGCGCTGGGGCAGGTTTTCTCCGAGTCATTCGGTTTCTCCTGTCAATCTTCATTCCACCAACTGCTCCACAACCACCCTCACCCATCATCTGGGGCTGGTACAACAGACCAGAAGTGGCCGCAGTACAAGGGACATAGTCCCACACCACTAGCAATAAAAGAAAAATTATAGGTAGGTAGGTGAGCAAGCAGGCAGGCAGGCAGGTAGGTAGGTTAGGTAGAGCTCTTCATAACCACCGCTGTGAGAAAATCAAATGCCACATAGTAACATTTTTGTTACTTATGATTTACAGGCGGTTTTGAAGCTACACTTCTCAGAAGGGTGGCCTTCTACTTAACATTCTTCTCCAGTGATAGTTACGTACAGTCCTGAATCTGTGCCCTCGGAGATGAACAGCAAGTCAAACTATTGCTCCTGTCTCAAAGGCCGGCAGTTCGGGCTTGTATTTCTGGCTAGCAGTTAGCAATTCATGAAGACTGTGTCTCGCTG